TAATCTCCAGTGGAGCATTCGCTCGTCTACGCACTGTTTTAAATGGCAACTTGTTTATTTTAGAAACCATACAGATCTCACAATCCATGATCGATTGATCGAACACGATCTTCTGAAGCTCTTTATTCTCGGGTAATTTTCTTTGCAATGCCTTTAAATAATTTACTGAAGCATGCCCCAGCCTGACGTGCCATAACATTGCTTTGTCATAATTTGTTTTATTATTACACTCGTTTAATGGAGATTCAATATCTGTTGTTTCTGTTACTGGCAATTCATTTGGATCGTTAATTTTCCTATCCCATATGGTTGTTTCAAAGTTAAAGTTTTGATACATTTTATTTTTCATGTTTACATTCTGATCATCAGTGATACTTGACTCAGTGTATCCAGTCAGAGTATTACTATTGGTCTTCCTTTCTCTGTCTTCAGTCTGTACTTTGTTCTCCCCATTCGTTCACTCGTACCTCTTCACACGCTTCCACTCGTTGTTTTCACCCGTTTTCTCTTGCCTGCTCTCAATCGTTTCCACTCTTTCTGTACCGTCTATCGTCTCATCTGTTGTTTTTGATTTCTTGCTCTCGTACACTCATTATCATTTTCGCTCATATCTGTTCGGTTAATAAAATTTTCCTCAGCACTCGTTTTGTCTTCTGTCGCAATGTTTCGCCACATACATCTTGCTTCATTTACAGTTGTTTTGTAATCACTCGTCAAGTCAGCTAAAATATATTGTTAGATCTTTCGCATATATTACTCTCGTTTCCAGCCGTATCTCGATTGATTTCCAGTTCAATAATCCAATAGGGTTTATTATAAACACCTGTAATGAATAGCTCATTCGAGACTGGATCAAATATATTTATCCTTTTCTTATCTAAATATATTGCTAATCCCATTTCAGCGAATTTTCTCAGGGACATAAGATTATCAGAAAGAGCCTCCGCAAATATAACGTTATCAATTTTCATAACTTTGTTATTGTCCAGGATTACTTCAACCTGGCCTACTCCCTCCGTTCTCAGGTCCGCTGAAGGATTTTTATTAGCACATTTTATTGTACCGTAGTCTTTTACGTCCAGGGTCTTAAAAATTATTCTAGAATTTGTGAGATGTTCTGTCGCACCTGAGTCGGCTAAGAACTTGGCTACTAATCTACCTTCGTTATTTACTCTTTCTCTATCATCATTATACTCGTGTAAAATATCATCGTTTCTTAACTTAGAGTTAATATCAGCCAAGAATGACTTACCCTTTGCAGTATCAGCTGATTTCTTATTCCCATCATTATTTGATTTGGGCTGTTTGAAGTTCTTATTAACATATTTGTAGCCACCTCGACCTTTATTTTGATTGAATCTGCCTCTCTTGTAATTATAACCTCTCGTATTATCGTCATTTCTCCTTTTCAATGTCTGTCGTCTGTCGTTAATCTGTCCAGATTTTTGTAAGTTTTTATTGTAATTATACCTGCCATTACCTCTTTTAAACTCGACCACTCGTAGATCCTTGCTTCTTTAGTCTTTCCTGTCTTGAGGACACTCGTCAGCCTTATGGTTTGTGAACTTATTACACTCGTAACATTTCACAACACCTGTTCCTTTTCGGGGGCAATCATAACTGATATGACCAAAATCAGAGCACTCATAACATCTCGCACTCGTACCTTTCTTAACTGTCATTGCTGCTCTGGTCCTCTCCTGATTTTGTCTGATTTCGATTTGCCTCTGCCTGCATCAAAAACATTTTCAGACTCTCATAATCTAAAACCCTTACCAGTCCCACTCACTCTTATAAACTCAACAGCTTGAACAGAAGGAACCGTGGTCATAATAGCATTATAAAATGTGTCGCGTTTTTCCTCCTCAGAAAAGGTCGCAGTGTCTGAGATATTCCCATAATCGCGTATGCAGTTTTCAAACCTTTCACAAAACTCAGAAGCACTCTCTTTATCTGGTGAATACTGCATGGTGTGAAAATTCCTTCTAATCATACTAGTAGTTAAATTCACCTCATATCGTTTTAATTCTTTTTATTTTATTTAGTATTTCGACAGGATCTTTTAAATGAGCTACCTTTGTGTGATAGTATGACTCTAAACGATTTATGAGAATATCACGCACTTTGAATTTATGTTTTGTCAAAGTATTTGCATCATAATTTTTAGTCGGTTTTTCACTCGTGTCAATTACATACAATAGTTCAAGCGATCTCAATTCTGAAGAAAAATAATCGTAAAAGTATTCAAATTTCGTTTGATTAGTTAATTTGTAATCACGGCGCGTACCCACATCTTTACTTATTATCTCATACTTTATTGCATCTTTAACATCATCAGCTCTAACGTATCTGTCGTCATTCTGTCTTACATTGCTATTTAAATTGTGACCACTCGGTTCTCCCAGATTGATGTCTGAGCTTCTGTTCTGGGTCATGCAACTCACATCAGGTTCACACTCTTTTACCTGTTTTATATTACACTCGATTTTCTCTACTTGTTTACCCCAGATCACTCATATTTTGTCGGTTACGACATAACTCTTCCATAATTTCTGATTGCCTTTTCTCCATGCTTTTCATAGTTTCAGTTAAGCTAGCCAACATTTTGGACTGCTGCAACAGCATATTGTCCATGGCATTGAAGCAAGGTATCCAGGCAGTCGCCTTTTCGTCAGTCTTTTGTTTAGTTTCTGTATTTGTGTCATCTAAACAATTTTTATTGTCAGATTTATTCAATAGTTTAGGAACGTTAATTTCTTTAGAGATATTTTTACCGGTTTTGTCTCAATTATTTTAGGTAGACCTTTACCTTTGTCTCAGTGGCCAACTGAGTTATATTATCTCCTTCTACATTATGAATCATAGCTCTCGTTGTGTTGACACTCCTCTTATAACTAGTTCCGTCATATCTAGTTCCCTCGTCACTCTTTCCGTCGTCACCACTACTGTCGTCATTCGTTCTGTCGTTACTGATTCTCTCGTCACTCTTTCCGTCGTCACCACTACTGTCGTCATTCGTTCTGTCGTTGCTGATTCTCGTAGCCAACCATTGTTCCTCTACAGGATCAACTATTTCCTGTTTCTTTACAGTACTCGGCAGCACAGCTTTCACGCCCTGTTTCTTACATTTGTCCAGCCATACTTCTAGCGCTTTCAACTCCTCTTTGGTAACAAATGTTTTAGCTGCAATATATTGAGAAAGAATAAAAATCTGACATTTGGCAGGATTTTAAATCATGTCGTTAGCTGGATCCACCGAACACAAGTTTCTCCAGACTAAGACGAGCAAGTATACATTTACCCGAACACAAGGTTACACATATACAAACTCTACTCTCATACATAGTAGCCAAATGCACGGCACTCAACCACCAAGCATGAGTAATTTGATTTTAATGGTTTAAAAATTATTATTTAGAATGTCTTCAGACATTCATAGGTCTTTTATTATTCGTGCTTTAAATATGCACAGTTACTCGAGATTTTTAATAATTAAATTTACGATGCATCTTAATTATAATTTCATTTGTATAGCTATACATATTTTCTTGGAAATATTTCAAAAATAAAATAAAATACCCTTCGCTCACCTGCTTTGTACTCAACACTCGTCTGAGTTTTTAGTGAAATATAATTTTCATGCAGGGATAACTCAATTTCCTCATTTGGGTGGTTTTGCTTTAAGCATAAACACACCCTCCAGCTTGACCATAACATTTTCAAATGTCATGTTATCAAGCATTTCATTTAACGTGTCTATTTCAAGAGCTGTAGGAATGAAAAGAATTGTTAGTTTACATGCAAACATATATTTTATAGTTGATCAACTTTTATTTAATTTAGTGTAGCGAGAATTTGGCCCGTAGTTCGAGACAAAGAGCCAGTAATGCGTCTTTCATTTGTTTGTTTATTATTATTTTTTTTTTCATCTACATTCCTTCGCTCGTTGTCTAGCACTCGTTTTTCCCGTTCAACTGTCTGATCATGCGCACAACTCGTCAATTGTCGTCACAATGGACTCTCAAATTCCCGCCAAGCCAACCTCGCCGCACGATCGTGCTTAGTTTCTAATTTATTTGTACTTAATCATGATTTTTTTTTATTTTTATACTAGGCCTAGATTTTAAATAACCTTTATTCAGTAAAATGAACAATGATTTCTTTGTTTTAGCTAAACATTGGACACTCGTTGACTATTTTCCAAACCGTGTCATCACTCGTCAAACCGCCTTTCATTTAATAATGTATACATTAATTTTCTTGTTCATTTTACTTTAAAAGAATTGATACTAACTCGACGACACTGTCGATCCTTCTTTGTCTTTGTTTTCAGCCATTGAAACTGCAAGTCTTCTTTGTTAGATTTTCCAAAATCACTTACACGTTTCTCTATACTACACCTTTTATAATTTAACAAACACTTTATTAATCTACTCAGTGAAAGCGAGCTCTGGGCCCATAACCTGTTAGAGGTTATGTGGATTTAAACAATAATAATAAGACTTAGTTTAATTAGAAATTAGAACTTTATTTATCAATGAATATATTATTGAACCGTAATAGACGACCAACTTGAATCAAGTGAAGAGCACGACGAGAGACGTTAGCCGAAAGGCTACGGGGGAAACCGATTAGGGCCGAACACTCGTACAGGCCCTATACACTCAAATATGTCGGAGACGCTGATTTCCAACATGTATGAAGTAAATGAATTATTCTGTGTTTGATGCTAAGTTATATAAAGGCAATTAAGTGATAATGAATTTAATGCCTTTTCCTTAAAGTCTTGAAGAACTTTCTTTTTGCTTGTTATAATCTTTAAATTGAGTAAAATGATGAAACTTCGGTACGAATGATGTAATTACGTTTTTTTTTTATATACAAATTTCAACAAATTTACATATAATGTATTTTATCTTGAATTTAAAATTTTATCACATCTAGAAAATTTTCAAGTAGAGTATATTTTAAAAAATGCATGTAAATTTGTATTTAACGGTTCAAATTATTTTTACAAGGTACTGATCGTTCTTCGTCTCTACCATCTGGTGAATCCTGCAAGAAAGGACATTTCGAATGCATGCCTGAGGAATGTATACCATCACACTGGGTATGCGATGGTGAGGAGGTAAGTTAAATTGAGAAACTTAGTAAGAGGAAGATGAGAAGCCAGCAGATTTCAAGAGATTATCAATTTCACAGGATTGCACAAATGGTCGAGATGAAAATTTTTGTTCTCAACACTTGGAGTTCTTCAAAAGAACATCCGGACACCGACTTAACGGCTATGACGTGGAAAAGTGGCTCAATACACCTCCAAAGACGTGCGCTCTCAGATGCAAAGAAGCTGAGTTCACTTGTCGCTCCTTTTCTCATAAGTAAGTTTAAAAACTTTCTTCACCCGTGGTAATTGCTTTAGTTTGACAAATTTTCATGGCTATTAATCGACTGAAGAGTTACGACTATTGATACATCTGAATAGAATTTTGTATTTTATTATTAGATAGGTCTGTCAATTTTAAAGTATCATTTGAAAACAAGTTTTGAGCATCTTCAATTAATTTAGAATTTAATATCTTTCTACCTTTATTTGAACATGAAGAATACTCTTTAGTAGTATAGACTTCATTTATTAATTCTACCGGGAAATCTCAACCTCTTATTCACCTTAACAATTTATCTTGTTTGAATTTTCTCCAATTAAAAGGAGATTTATTCATAAATGTAAATTCGACTTTATATAACATCCTGGGTTTACATGTGCCTTAGTTTCATTTCTTGGAAAATGTCTTTTATGATCCATTCGTTGGGTTTAATGTTTTTGATGAATTTATCTAGTTTCAAACAAGTTAATTTGAAGTATGTTTAATGAATGCATCATTCAGGATGCAAGCTTAAATTTAATTGTGAATAGTATAAAAGGAATGATTTAAATAAAAAAAGTTTAATAAGTAATTATTTTTGGATTTCAGAGCAAAAAAAAATCTGTGCCTTTTAAGTAACAATAACGTTGGAACTTCTGGAGCTTTGGAACCTGCGGTTGATTTTGATTATTATGAATTGATTGATTTGAGCATGAATTGTGATGGAATGTTTGTTTGTGGAAATAACAAATGTATCAATCAATCTCAAGTTTGTGATGGGAAAAACGACTGTGGAGATCGATCAGATGAAGATATTTGTAATCCTGAGAAACTTAATTATGCTATTCGATTGAGCGGCTCTGAAAATGATTTTGAAGGAAGAGTAGAAGTCAAAAGTAAGTATTTGTATTTTCTTATTTAATTTTAACTGTAAATTTGTCTAAGCTAACGAAATTTTCATTCAATAGAACGATACTAATGCATTTTTCATAGTCTTAGGACAATGGGGACAAGTGTGTGATGATGGCTTTGGAATGAATGATGCTACTGTAATCTGTAAAGAGCTTGGATTTAATTTCGGGGCTTTAGCAGTACGGCCAGGGGGATATTTTGGCAATTTAGAGCCACCAACACGTTTCATGGTTGATCAATTAAAGTGCCGAGGGAATGAAACTTCTCTAAGGGAGTGTGATTTCGATGGATGGGGTGTTCACGATTGTTCTCCAGAAGAAGCAGTTGGAGTAGTCTGTAAAACGGCAGTTAACACGTGTCCAGAAGGTCAATGGAAGTGTGATAATAGTCCATTCTGTATATCTACACCGTTTATTTGTGATCAAGTTCCAGATTGTCCAGATGGATCAGATGAAAGTCCCGAACATTGCGACGTAAATTTATTTCAATGAATTGTTGATTTTTAAAAAATTTTCATTAATAAAAATATTTTTTTTTTATTCAGGCACCTTTTGAAATAAGATTGGCAAATGGAAGTCGTCCTTCTGAAGGTCGAGTAGAGATACGACATCATGGAGTTTGGGGTACAATTTGCGATGATGATTTTACAAAAGAAACTGCTAAAGTGATTTGTAGGTCGTTGGGATATGGAGGAAATGCTGTACCAAAAAAAAATAGTTTCTTTGGACCTGGACAAGGACCAATATGGCTTGATGAAGTAAACAACTTAATTTACTTATTAAAAAAAGTTCTTTTTTAATTATTGGTGGAATCGATTCAATTTTTTTAGGTTTCTTGTGATGGAAATGAAACTCAAATCTATCGATGTGAACACCACCCTTGGGGTGAAAGTAATTGCAACCACGAAGAAGATGCTGGAGTAATATGCCAAGAAGTTCCTGTAAATATTGACGAGGTAAATGATGAAAATTAATCATGGTTAAATATTGTATTTGAATTAAAATTAATCAGTAGTAGTATGAATTGAATAAATGTAGCTTATAAATGAAAAAATTTAGGTATATAATTCTCATTGATCTTGATTTAAATTTTCATTTTCTGTTTTTTACTGAGCACAATTTTTTATAGGATAATGTTAACTACGTCGAGCCAGAAATTAATATTGATGATATTCTTCCGGCAGAATGTGGTAGACGTGCTGAATATTTTAACAATCGAGACGATATATTTGAAAAAGTTATCAGTGGTTCAATAGCTCCTAAAGGTTCATACCCTTGGCAGGTAAATGAAAAAATGATTTGTTAACTTTTTGTAATGATTGATTGGTTGATGAATTTTTTTAAATTAAAAATAGTTTAAATGAATTTATCCCTGATGGATTTTTTGTCTTCAATTTATGATATAAATACATTTTAAATGATTAGATAAATTTTAGTGGAATTATATTTCATGCGACTAATTTTTTCATTTCATTTAAAGGCAAGTATTAGAGTTCGCGGTCATAATAGATCAAATCACTGGTGTGGTGCAGTCGTTATCTCTCCTCTGCACGTTTTAACAGCGGCCCATTGCCTTGAAGGTTACAATAAGGGTACTTATTTCGTCCGTGCCGGAGATTATAATACTGAAGTAAAAAAACTTTTATCGTTTAAAAAAAAAATACATGAATCTAAAAAATTTATAAAATTGAATCAACTTTACTTCAAATCCTCTTTAGATACCAGAAGATACTGAAGTTAATGTGAACATTGAAGATTATTACATTCATGAGGAATTTCGTAAGGGTCATCGTATGAACAATGACATTGCTTTGGTTTTATTAAAAGGTCGAGGTATTCCACTTAATGAGCACATCGTACCAATTTGCTTACCTCCAACGAATGTCGAATATCCCGCTGGGTTAAACTGTACAATCAGTGGATTTGGAAGCATTGAAACTGGATCATTGAGTAAGTTAACACAATTTATATGTGAATATATTTTAAACTTTGATCCATTTTAAATGAATAAAGACATATTTTGAATAATTGAAATTCTTTAGCTCACTCTCGAGATTTACGTTTTGGTTGGATTCCATTAATTGATCAGTCTATTTGTCGAGCGGAGTATGTTTACGGTGAAGGAGCTATAAGCAATGGAATGATTTGCGCTGGATATTTAGATGAGGGTATTGATGCTTGTGATGGTGATTCTGGCGGACCGTTGGCATGTAAACACGACGGTATGAAAATTTATATTCTTCTTTACTTTTTTACTTTATACCTTGCATATTTTTGAATTCATTGTTAGTCAATCAATCGAAGAATTCATTTGAGTGTTTCTTCCTGAATTCACAGGTGTGTTCACTCTTTATGGTATTACCAGCTGGGGTCAACACTGTGGTGCAGCCAACAAGCCGGGAGTTTACGTGCGTATTTCCCATTACCGAGATTGGATCGATAAAAAAATACGAGAATCTCTATCTGGAAGATAGTTTTTTAAGTGAAATTCGTTCTGCAGGCAGATTATTATATAGCATTATTACTGATGCAAGTAATATAAAAAATTATTTTAATAACAAAATGAAATTCTCATACTCCATGACAATTGTTTTTTATTTATTTTTAATTTACAACGTCAATTTGAAAATACTTATAGAACATATTTATTCTTATTTAAGAGATAAATGAATAATGAAAATACATTTTAAATACATATGTAATTTTAGAACAGTAATAGATTAAATAATTGATTATAAATAAAATAATAATTTTTTACAAAAAGTACAGTTTATGTTTCATGATTGATGATTTTTATTTGAATAAATTAAACTGTTTATGATAAGAAGAGTGGACATGGAAGAAGGAAAAAAATATAGAAATGAATAAAAACAGTATATTTTTACCAGTTAAGTTGAATTCTATTTCATGAGACATTTTTTTTCTACAATAATTGTAATTTTTGTTTTTATTTTATTATTTTCATTTATATATAACCAAAATTATTTACAATAGTCCCAACGTATTCGATCGATACAGAAGTAAAAATTTGTAAATCGACAATATGTACATACAGGACGGGTTTAACAAAAAAAATGTTGTTATAAACATACAGACTTTCTATTTTAGTGTGAGCTTATGAATTTTTTTTTAATCAATGATTATGCTCAAGCATACACATAGATGCAGTAAAAATAACATTACATTAAAAAGCATTTTCAATATTACTTGAACAATTTTATATCGACTTCAGACAAAAATTATGATCGATACGTTTGGTGTGATCAGTGTTTATTATATAACTGTATTCTGTGTTAAAAAAAAATTTTAAATAGCAAAATGTTCTTTTGCTTTTCATGTATATAGACCCATTTATTTTATTTTTAACGGACAATGTTTTTATAACTCTCAGCAATATCGTTTTCGCAATGAAATATAAATAACAACATCCATAATGTATATTTTTATTTGTACGTGCGAACGAAGAGTTTTTAGGTGTCACTCATATGGGAATGTGGAGATGAGTTCTATGACAAAGTAAATTAAAAGTAAATTTAACATATTCACTTAATTAATAATTTATACATAAATATAATTCAATTCTTAATTATCATATATTCCTTTCGTTTATATAAATATTAATATACGTTCTATAGACTCTGAATCTCATTTAAATTAATTTTCGATGTATTTAATTAAATATTATCACAAATAATCTCATTGACTTTTGACTTACTCAATAAATATATCGAAATGGAATAATTGTATTTGGAAAATATAATAAAATAAATCATATATAAAATTTTTAAAACATAAATATAAAATATAAAATGTATCCAAAAAATCATTTATATTATAAATGCTATGACTTGTCATTTAAAATATATTTACGAATATAAAAATAATTTTTTCATAAAGCTAAATTTAATAACTTTTGTTAAAAAAATTATTTAATGTCTTTAGAACGTATATTAATAATTTGAATTCAATTGATTCAATAGCTAATATACACAATTAAAATGTAATCATAAGCAAATAATTTAAAAATCCGGATTTTTATAAAAACTTTTGCATTTTTTAATTATATTATTCTAAAAACCGGATTAAACTAACGACTAGTGACTAGATGGAGAATGTTTCCAAATGTTCTTTATTAGACAACACACTTCATTGAAACAGGTGCATTTTCACGATATTCAATTTTGAGTGAGTTCTATTATTAATTTTTTTTTCTTTTTTTCTTTAATATATACCTTGTATTAATATTTTTTATTCTTATAATTTTTAAAATCAATATCTCCTAACAGACTTTTTCATTCGATTACAGACTATTCTTAATAGTACGTTGCATAGAATTACGTATGAATGCATACGTATGTACACGACTTAATTATTTACAAATAATGAATCTGTTGAATGTTTTACTTGTATGATTTACTATTTCGCTGAAACATCTCATTATTTATTGATTTTTATTTTATTTTCCATCTTTTCAATCTTCTTGTTCAAAAGATTGACATACTCGTAATTGCTTAGTCTATTAACTTAATACGCGACGGACAAAATATTTTCGGCCAACCAAGATCTTGCCTGTTTACACTCTAGTTTAATTATAAAGTGCCAGTGAATGAATACTTTCATAAAAAGACCATTAATCTGGATATAAAAATAAATTATCTGTTGACGTAAATGGATTAAAACAATTAATCGGTAAATGCATATTGATGATGATAAAAATCTACTTAAAAAAAAAAAGTATTATAATGTCACGTCCGGAAAGTTATGAAGATTAATATAGACAGTGAAAATGGCTACGGTGTATAGTAAACGATATATCATAATGGTCTCTCTTGCTATTGATAATTGGATTTTCGATAACGTGCATATGATTAGTTGACTTCGATAAATCCTACTATAGGAAACATGTTTGGGCTAAATGCCAGCCAGATTCCAATGAGTAGAAATCAGTAAAAATTTCTTCTATAAAAAAGCTCCAATAGTTACGACGAGAATATAAAAAATATAATAAATTAAAACATTCGACATGAAACCTGGATTCTGGCATATTTTTCAATATACATTTATTATTATTATTATTATTATTATTTTAGTTTAGTTGATTTGTTATTTACTTGCCTATGAATTACTTTCTTGACTCCACGACAATTTGTTATCATTTTTATTTATTTGTAACATCAAGAAATTTTTTTCCATCAATTAAAATACTCGAGTCAACCATTTTTAACAATTGTCATTTAAAATAAGTCTTTGTTATTAAAGTCTATAAAACTTTTATTAATCAATAATTATTAAAATTGAAGTTATAAAATATTATTATTAATATTAATAGAGTATAGATTTTTTTTTTTAGAATTAGTGATTGATTGGAAAATTGTAATAAAAATTTATATTAACTCGAGTATATTTTTTCAATGTAAAAAAATTCTTTATTCATCAGTTATTAAAAAGTTTTCAAAGAATTTTGATATTTTTATAGAGTTCATTATATGTTTTTGACTGAACCGTGCGTATTCTAAGCCCAGGAGAAGAGATCTCTTGGTCCCTATAATATGTTAAAAAGTTGATTTCGATGAATAAACTTCTCTTAGAGAAGTTAGTAAACTTGAACGTTATTTATCAATAAATCACTGGGATTATTTTGTATTCGTGACATCGTTTAATTTCGTTATACTCAATTTTCTGTTTTGTTTTTCCTTTTATTCTCTTAAGAGGAACTTGCTTATTCTTCGTAATACTAATTAATACTTTATCAGCAAGAAAGTTTTGTCTTTGTAGTTCAACACTTGAAATAATTAAAGTGGATATATGAAATTTCGTTGAACTTAGCCAACCAATCCACTGATTTCTCTACATTCTATTATAATAAACGACAAACGTTATATCAAAAGATTTATGTACAAAAATTTTCTGTCTGATAGGATCTCAAAATTAGAATCGAATATTAAATCAATGTCTTTATAATATGGAGTTGGAAATGATTCATTTTCCATTATGAATTTGACTAACTTTGAGATTCCGTCTTGCAGATAAACGTAGACTTAATAATAACACTTAATACTAACTGATACTGCTTAAAAATTGTTCCAACAATTGTTTGAAGGAGCAACTCTGTTTGAATTGAACTTATTCAATTTGGCTTCGACTTTTCTTTGATCAGCCTGTCTTAATTCTTCCGTTAATTCTCTTTAATGATTATCTTCTTGCTTTTATGATTATATTTTTCATCTTTATGAATATATTAATATTTATATCTATTTCAGTATCTCTTCCACTCTTCATATGTAACTTGATTTCACTGAGCGTTCAGTTCAGATCTGTTAGCACAAAAGATGAACAAAAACGTATTATTTTTTAGCTAAAAATTTTTTAACGGATGGTTTTCATCAAGGATGAGTGAGAAATCTTGGGTATAGAATATCGTTACTCACTTTAATGCTTTATAACGTTCTTTCTCTTGATTGTTGTCAGGTGGTTCACACTCAAACGAAGCCAAAGCAAGTGCTGTAAAATAAATAAGACAAATAGAATTAGAATAAAGTCATTTTTAAAAGCTTTTAACCAATTTTACTGCTGTTGTTAATACCATTTTCTGATAGTACTGGACTGGCTTGTAGAAATGCTATGACCCGTGGGCTTTTTTCAAAAGGACAGGCCACCTGCTTCCAAGCTATGAACTCAGTTACCTGCTTGGCAAGCTGCCAAAACTTCTCAAAGTTGATGTGACCATTTGGAAGCCTGTAAAGGATAGAACAGTCGTAGTCACTTCTAACGGTAAACCCATTTAAGAAATTAAAGATAAAAATATCTAGAGCTGGAATATAGACTCAGCAGATCAAGAAAAGTGTCAACATAACTGGGATATGAAATTTTTATAAAATATAATACATTCAATGTAAGCCAATTTTTTACTAGTTGTCTAACTTAAACTATTTTTTAAAAATATGAAATGTATTTATTTTAATTCCTTCACCGTGGATTCGGTAAATATTGGTTTACATATCTTACATCAGCATGAAGTTGCATCTTATATCATACGAATATCGATAAAGTTTTTCAAACTTTAAATAAAATTTTTTTTTTCTCTCAAAATACTTACAGAAAAAGTTTAGAGAATTTTCGTAATTTGATACACAAAAGTTTTTGTAAGTTTGTATAACAACATTGTGAATAGAAGCTCAATATACTTGTGAATATAATATTTACATAACGATCAGGATTCATTCCAAATAAGTATCTTTCTTCATGCGATATGTTCCTTCAGTTTTATTATCTTTACATATCACCGTTTATTCATCTCTTAGGTCATGATTGAAGGCAACATAACTTTTGCTATTACAAGTTTAATAAGTTTATCTACATTCCATGGAAGTGGGAATTGACTAAATTTGAATACGAAGTAAACTCAAGTATTTGAGGAATATTTACTTTCAGGGGGAGAGCAATGAGAATATAAGTAGAGATTGAAATTATCTTTTCTTTCTACAGCAAGATTCATTATAAAATGATATCGATTGATTAACTTCCAAAATGATTACTTTTTTTTAGAGAGAAAATTAATTTATTAAAAAGTAAAAATTTAATTAAAAAAAGTAACTGATTAAATTTTAATAAGTTTTTCGATGAGAAAAATATTATTTTAGTAAGTTTGTAATGGTGGATGTGGAGTTCTTGATTAATAGACTCAATTAAGCATACATTAATCAAGAACCATCATACATAGAAGATGAAAGTGATGCTTCTTTGGACGAAATAATTAATTAATAATGTTATGATATAACTACTTACTTATTACTGCAGCCTTCATTAAGAAAATATAGATCCTTGACGAGAAGACTGAAGAAAGGTACAACGATTCTTTGTCTTTCATCAGTTGCTCCAGCACTTCGCCACATTGCTGCCTTTAGTGTGCTACGATAACTGCTGAAGTTACTACTTGGATCCATTTGATGCTCGAGAATTGAAAACTTTGCAGACTGGACCTTTGACCACTGAAAGAAAATAAAAAAGTGTAAAAACATTGATTTTTCTTTTCAATAGATATGTTGGAAGAGATTACTAAGTTTATGCCCATGTATTGATTTAACAGTAGTAAAGCATTAAATAATTTTTTATTTTAGATAAATAAAATATATTATAAGGGGATTACATATGTATTTATGTTTTTGTTATTGCGAACTATAAATACAGCTCAGACTGATTTATAATAAAAAAAGATTTGAGTACCTCTGGTCAAAGTACCAAGAAGCATAGGCTAGATGTTTCTCTAAATAAATTGGTGATTTATGAAAATCTTATCTAAATTCCGCATATGAAAGAAAATCCTCTTTTTATATCTCAAAACTCATTTTATTACGTCTCAGACTACTCGAAACATGTAAGGCTTTAAAGGGATATTCGAAAAATCAAGCAGACATTTCAAAAATATCAGAGAAAAAAATATTTTCAGCAAGATATAAATTTGATGATAATTTGAATATATTTTTCTGGATATGATTCACAAGGTCAACATTTTTTATTTTTTATCTGAACTGAAAATACCATATTTTATTAGTAAAATAAAATAAGAACTCTATTTATATTGTTTCCTTTTGAAGTTATATTTACGTTCCCAATGTTTATTGACTTGCAGATAATTCGGTATTTTATAATTTCTACAATTCCATTTTATGTTAAAACAAGCAGTATCTAGGTGAATTTAGTAGCAATTTATATATACATTTCAACTATCAATAATCCAGATGTAATTTCAGTAATTAATATAATAATAATGAAAGTCCATTTTAATTAATAAGAGCTCGTTAATTTGAAAAATTTATTTTCAATAGCTGGAATTAATTTGATATTGATTCAAAATTCATCTTTCTAGATTTGAAAAATAATAATGTGTAAATATAGGTCGTTGGTAAATTTAATTAAAAAATGAAAGCATCAATTTTGTATTAGAGTTTTCAAACATTGATTTTATTAGATTGCACTGGTGGAATTTATTATATGTGGAAGTAGTATAAAAGTTAAGAGGGATAGAATTTCATGAGTATAAGGGTATAATATATGAGCTCGACGTGGGCCAAATAATTTAACAGAGAACCAAGGGGTGGAGTGAGAGTCGACGCGTGAGAGAGTTGACTACGACAGTAATTGAATTAACTTGGAGGACGAAACTGTCGCGAAACTCGCGTGCGAGTGTGATGCACAGGATTAATTCCATCTGCCTCTTCATCCTCTTGGGATTTAATTCACCTATTACTATGTTACTTGTAGGTAGAACATGAAGGTTTATCGCGTACTGGAATTAGCATCGTGAAACGGTGAACGATCAGTTGCACATTAATTCAAATATATGTGGTAATTTGGACGAAACTCATGTGTCACTCAACTTATACCATTAATACTGATTTCATTATCATATGAAACTAAACGGTACCACCGCAAGAAGCTTCTTGAATTATTGATAGTAAAAATGAGCTTTATTCAAGACATACTTGCATATTGATATTGAAATAATTTAATCAGTTTCATTTTTAAATCCTGAAACTGTAAGATAATATAGTAGATTAAAAAAGAGATGAGAATTTTCTTGCCTTTCTTATAAAGTACCTTTTTGGATTTTATCTCTTCCAGTAAATTACATGAAAGAACTGAAGCTCTATGGGGTTTTTAATAATTTTTTCTTCTAGTAATTAATGGTTTTCTTCGCTCTTAAGCTCTCTTAAATAATAGCAGTCTTTAAAAAAGTAAAAGATCTTTATAATATTCAGTCACATATCATATTTACGGTGGATATTTAAAAACTTATATTTTTCCAACACAAATCAATTGGCAACTAAATTGAATGTCAACAATTTTTGCATTTACTTGCATTTTTTGTTTATATTTTTATCTCTATATCAATGCTGTTGCAGCACTTTTATGATCAAAAATTATTCATTTAATATTTTTTGTTTGTCTAAAAAAATTGTAGGTAAAACGAGAAAGGTTTTGCTTCAATGATTTAAGGCTTTTGATTGTAGGAGAACGAGCAAGAGAGGACCTTCAGGGCTACACACGCGTATTTGTGAATAAAATCGGACGGAAGTAGTCGCGATAAGCGGTAGGAGTACTACCGGTGGTAAATTTCCATTAACGAAAATTACGAGGCTTGAATTCTGCTCCAGGTACGTTGGTAACAACGTTTTTGCAATTATTTCCGTCGCTTGGCACTATAAATCAAGCCAACCAGCCAAATGAACCTCGAATAGCGTCCAGGGTTTTGTTCAAGTTACACTACAAACCTGACTATATTCTAACTAAATCGCATCACTGGAAATCCCTCAGATAATTGGTAAAACTTTAGTGTAATTAAAAGTTGGTGAAGACCACTGCTACCTGATCACTTTGCTTTCTCTCTCTCTCTCTCTTTCTTTTCGTCACTTTAATTACTTTATCTTCATCAATTTTTTTTATTTTTCATTATCACATAATTTAATTCATTCCGTTTCAGCATGTTTCAAAGATCAATGCCATTCAATAATGATAGTCAAGTTAAAACCAACTGATGAATTTTTGAATAACTTAACTAGTCTTTAACTTTTCAATTAACTCCAATTATATCCATTTATATTATTCATTATGAATATGATTAATTAAATAAAACGAAAAATAAACGAATACAAATATTTAATAATAATTAAAATAAATTGTAACTAGAAGTAAATGTTTTTTATTAAAAAAAAAAAATAAATAAATATCTAAAATGAAACAATGAAATTGATGTTAAAAACTTCTTTTAACAAATAATTTAAAGATGAAGATAGTCTTTTGTATGATTTGTGACGAAAGATTCACCGATAATACTTACAGTTTTTTTAAGGCGTGAAATAGGAGACATGTTTAGTCCAGCTATAATTGCCATTAAGGAATTGAAGTTGCCTATGTTGAAGCATTCCCTTGCAGTTTCAATCCAATACTCCACTACTCGAACTCGTTGCTTTTTCTTAGCGTGCTGAAAGGAAATAAATTAATTAGAGAAAATACATCATTTACAAGGATGTAGTTTTTTTACTTATTCATTACGTGTGCTTTCGCATTACTTACTTTACACACTTCTGTAGCAACGAAATAGCTAAGTCTATTGAACCACTGAACGTAAGACTCAAGATTTCTGGTTTTTTTCATGTCCTTGAAGGAGGTTTCTAGATGAGGTGATTCCTGTATATAGAGAAGGCAGTGAAGTGAGTTAAAATCAATACGTTGATTAATGCAGACGGTTCTGTTGAGTCTTGTAAACATAATGTATAACCACATTCACATTGAGAAAACCCAAGTTGACAGTGAATATGAGCTCACCTTAGCAAATGCTTGTACAAACTCCTCAGGCCCTATGTATGAGAGTCTCTCCAGTTCGACATGGGTCAATTGTTGTGCTAACACAGTTGCCGAAGGACACAGTTCAGTTACGTCAACCTGTAAAACAAAAAGATTGAAAATAATTCAGGTGTTTGATTGGTTAACAAGAAATGAGTGATTTTTTTTCTTGATTCAGTGGATGATGAAGATGAAAAAAGAATTTTTACTGCTAAAAATTTATTTCCTGCATTTCCTTCCTCAACTCAATTCACTTGTCTTATTCAATTTTATGTTTTTCCACCTCGCTGGACAATTTCGAAGGTGTTTTTAATGAGTGAGAAAATAATTTTGAAATTCTCATAAAATGTTTTACGGCTGCTTGTAATATCATATAAGAGAAAATATATAAATATCAATTTAATATGAAGGTAAATTCGTCCTGTTTCGTCTCTTTGTATGAGAAACTTTTAAAATGAGATGTTTTAAACAATAGAAAATAATATACAGCACAACTTTTGTTGATTATTTTTTATGTATAAAATTTTCAAGTTTGGTATTTTGTTTTTTGTATGTAGAGTTAATTTATTATTTTCGAAAAAGTGAATAGATGGAATAACAAAGTTAAAAGAGAATGATAAAAGCTTTGATAAATTTTATAAAATAGTGAATTTTTGGAGCTTTTGTATACATAATTAAATACTGCTGGCTTTTATTAGATGTGCATAGTAATTCAATTAATTAGCACAGCCAATTGGATTTATTTGGGAAAATAATTATTGTGGTACTGCAAAACCGTTTTCTACCTATTTTATTGGCTATCATAATCCTTTATATGTATTGAAATATTCCATCCCTACCTAATCACCTAATAAAACACTCGGGTGACAACAACTCCCAATGAAAAGAGATGACGGATTGCAGCTGATGGGTCGATAGCCTGACTGCAGATATAGGTCAAGTGGAAAATAACTCAAGGATTATAATTATCGGGTGTGCAAATTATTGTCACATTCTATTTCTAAATAAATTTGCTGACTGAAATTGCTGAATTTAATTTAATATCAAATGTTTGACTTAAACAAAATGATGTTTGATAAAATGGGTCATCAAGCAGATAAAAATGGAAAAATTGCTCACTTGGACTCAATGACATGAAAATTATGCAGCAAAATCATTTAATAAAAAAATATGGGGTTGTTATTTATGTATGTAATGTGATTCAAATGATCAAGCATGACAAATAAGTATGAGACGTGACAAAAGGGATAAAAAAGATACTTGAAAACGACCACCTCAGCAAAGAAACATTGTAAGAGCATCATACTTGTCTCTTACTTTTATGGTGGTAAGAATCATTCATCTTTTTTTTTTCTTCTTTCGACACTTTTTCCTTTCATTTTTGCGACTTACACTTCATTCGATTTCAGAATGATATTGGTGGTAATGCAACCAGCTCAAAGAGAAGTCATCTAAGTGCTCTAGAGTTAAAAAAAATATAAGTAAAAAAAAAGAAGTAAAGTGGAACACTTCTCTTTGATACATTCTGTAATTTAGGTTTTTACTCTTTATATATTTTTCTCCATTAATGTCATGTATAATAGTATATTGGTGTTAGAGAATTGAAAATGTTACTGCTAATAAGTTGTCTCTAAGATCAAAAGAAAACATTTCAATCTTTATATATAAAGTGTAATTTGTTTTTACATACAAATATGAAGTCTTTTAAACAATATTCTATTTTATTTTATAATACTTGTATATAGAACTTTATAAAGAGAATTTAACTTTCATTAATTTCTTAATTAATTAAAGGAAGAGGATATTTGAAATATGAACATTCAAATTTAAATAAGAATTCAACAACTTGTTCATAACAAAGCAAATTTGAAATTCAAGATAGAGCTTTTTTTTTTCTTCTCAATTCATAGTTTTATCCTTCAGTTTAAAGTAGATTACTCTTAAGTATATTTGTAGAATGTAATTTTATAAAGCTCAAGGCTTAGATTTCTATTAAGATCATGAGAATCCATATAAATATTATATTTTATAACTAAATATTATGTATTCATATTAAATATTCAGTATAGTATCAGAAGAAATGATACATATAAGATATTAACAAAAATAAAAAAAGCTCTATTATATAAGATAGAAAGCTCTTCAGAAGAATAAAAATGGTTCTCTCAAATGCCCATCTCACGACAAAATGCACTTTTATACGGTCTGGTTCCTTTCTTTTTTCCTTACATGTCCTTTCATCTTTTTTCCTTTCTTATCATTTCTGTTCTTATCATTTCTATTTGTCGACAGTGAGCGTGTGTTTGAGTAAAGTACATTTTTCCTGAGAGTAGGTACTTTCGTTCTATGTGCTCAGGGATAGATGTCTCGTTACCAGAAAGACTGGATGTTAATCTTCAAAAACAGGGTTCGAATTCTCATGTGTCAACATCATGTTTGTCAGTAACAAAAAAAAACTATTCTTTAGCTGACGTAGTTTTACAGAAATGAGGAAATTGGTAAAATAAATATAAAAATGAAAAAAATATTTTTCATGTTATTGATTTTGTTTGTTGAATTTTTTTTTCACTATAAGTATTCATCAAATAAAAATATTGGTTTATTCAGTATAAGTAAATGAAGTTGTTCAATACAACAATTGTTGGTGAATGAAGTGTTATGTAAATAGACTCGATAATAATTTTTATTGTTGACTGAATAATTTCTTTTTCAATTTTCCTAATGAACCAACTATTTTGGGCAGTAATTATTTTTCAACTACTGTTTATAGTCCATAAATAAATGAAATCATAATACTGAAATAACTAAAAAACAGTAGTACCTCGGGATATCATATTTACCTTTCTGTTTATTCGAATAGCTGATGTTAAAAACATGAATTTTCGAGTTTCCATGTTCTACACTATATTCACTAGAATAGTTATTTAACGAAGATCACAACAACCAGGATGAATATTTTCAGTGAGCGTGAGCTGAAAGCTAACTGGAAGCTTTATTTTTCCATAGCCAGCTGATGGATAAAATAATAATGAAAAATATTCTACACACAAAAATCATTTCAACCAAATAACATCAAACATAAATAATACATCAGTAAGTTATAGATCATCTACATAACATGTCTTGAATAAATAACTATAATCATTTTATCAAAATAAATCAAGAAAAATATTAACTATTTAAAAAGTCTAACAGCCAGCCAGCTCTACTGCTGATTAATTAATTCTTAGACTTGTGTTGATTGCACTTATGTAATTACTGCATGATATATACACAAGTTTATTTGTACGAATTAATTAAAAATGAACAAGTTTTGGGTGTTAATAATTTCAAAGAAGTGAATGAAACATAAACGAAGATGAATGAACAAAAGAAGTTTACAAAAAAACAAAGCCACAAGAAGTAGGCGTGAGATTGTTATCACAAGATAGAAGGAAAGTAAAAAAGAGAAGACTATGGGTTAGAAAAAATAGATGAGTAGAAGTTGGAAGTATGGTTTGTAATTGAAAGACACCGCATACTCCAAGAGCTGCACGAGTTTCGAATACCTTGGGTAGTTGGTATTTTTTTACAGGGGAACGAGAATTGTATGGTATAAGAGAGAAAATTCAAACCGCAATTCTAGAAAAGTGTGCAAATCGAGAGACGAAAAGCGACTGGTTGGTGTATAAGATCTTTATAAAACATAACTCAGGGTCTTTTAGCCTTATAGAAAAAGTCGCTTTCGAAATTAAGCCTTCACTCAACAACTTTTCAAAGAAGCTTTTAAGCTTTGATGCATATTGGAGAATGCTTTATGAATGCATTTATGATTTACTATACTTAGAATTTAAAATGTATTTATATTTATAAACAATATTAGCTTCTTACAATTAAATTCTACATTCAAATTAATTCTGTATGATGATCAGAATTTAATTAAGTCTCCAATGTTACACAAATCGATATACGTCAATCAATACTGTGCAATCATATAATAAATAAACAAACCGTAACGAATTCTTGTGAAATCATAATTTTAATGTAAAAATTATTTACTTTTGATTTAAATCAGCTATTTGATGGCAATTCACATTTACTTAACGACATAAACATTAAAATTTATACTTTTTATTTCATTAAATAAATTTATTTTGAAAACAATTTTTAATTATTATTCAATTAGATTGCAAATTGTATCATAATTTCAACTGAAATAGTTTAGTGATTTATATAAATGAAATTTAATTTTTAATAGTAAAGTGACACTTTAATGAACTAAATTCTTGTATTAAATACACCTGAAATTGTATTAATTTTATAATTCTCTCGCATTAATTCAGAAATGTCTCGTGATGTAAAAAAAGAAAAAATTTATAATGAACACGTTACAATGACTTCAACAGTGATTTTAAATTCCTCTTTTATACATGTATATAAGTTTCATGCCTGCAAGTAGCAGGTGGTAGAAAAGTTACGAACTCTGGTCGAATATGTCTCCAGCAATGAGTTCCAGAAGTGACGAAAAGTTTGAACGTAAGCTCTAAATAAATAAGCTTTACATCTCGTTTATTTAACTAGACTAAACTAACTATTGCAATTAGCTGTTGCTTTCTTTTTTGTTCTTTTAATCGTTTGTAGCAGTTAATGATGTGATTTAAGTTTTTATTATCAGACAAATCTAATTTTTTTTTTCTGAAAAAAATAACATGTCACATCCTATAGTGGTTAAGAACTAGATTGTTAGAAAACTAATTTTTTCACTTTAACAATTTTTTCAATTAAAAATTTTTTAATTGAAGTTTTCCAATATTTGAAGATAGATTACACACTCTGAGAAATTGAGTCTATCATGACAGTCAGTAACTCTAGTAATTCATAAGAAGGATCATTACAGCTTGTTTCGAGTGAAAATAGATGATCATTGATTTGTAATTATTAGGTACAGATGTTAGTTAATAGTGAGGAATGAAGGGAAGTGAAAATAGAGAATTTGATATTGGAGCACGTTGACAACATTATCAAAGCATGATTAGATATGGGAAAATTGAGCATGATAGTGTAGTTTCAAATGACCTATTAGTGAACATAGGATGTGGGTAATAATCAAGTCAACTGAATGTATAGTCAAGTCTGTACTTGCATTTAAAACTTTTCGTTTATGTATAAGGATAATTAATGAATGATTTATTCCTTTTTTCATACATCGACCAAATTGATTTGAAGTCTAAAAGTGTTTTCATTCTGTAGTCTCTGAACATTCAACATTGATTGAGTATTATCTTCTCTAGTTGCAGAGTAATTTTTTTAGGATGATTATTTATTTAACAAAATTCCAATACGTGTTTGAAGAAGAAAGCTTGGATTAAGTCCCAGCACGTTATTTTTTTTTTTTTGAGGAAATGCTTTGATTAAATATAAAAAATCTGATACTTTAAGTAAAAAAGTCATAGAGTGAATGATTTGCAGTTGAGTGGTCATTTTTATCTTTTCCTTGTTGTTGTAAAGAAAAGAATAACTTCACAGACTTTCTTACTAGCTCATCCGTAAATTTATCGAACCGTTAGAAAGATTCACTCACCTGAGTGAGTTGCTCTGTGGTAGCTTCAGTGGCTAGTCTAGCAAGTCCTTCTTCATATCTTTCAAGAGCCGTTAGACGTAGTAATAAATTCTGGAGAAGAGCTGAGACTTCTTGTCGTGCAGCATCGTCCAAAGCGGCCACTTTTTGGGTGATAGACTTGACATGAGCCATCACTCGTTCATCCCGAAAGTCATAAGGGAATGTCTCTGTCCATTCGGCCAGAAGTTGAAGAAGTCTTGGAACGAATCTCTGGAGCCGTTCCTGTAAAAATACGAGCAACATTTATATTTCAAATTGAATCAAGTTAAATGAAATCAATGAACTGAATAAAATAAATGACTTGAAATGAAAATATTAAATGTTGGAAAAATTTACTTTTCAAAGGATTTTTGAATCAATTGATTTTTTACTAATTGGTATTATTTTACTCATATACGTATATGTATGTTCAATTATGTATTATTTAAAAAAATTATTCAAGCATTTAAAAAAAATACCTAAAAATAAAATCACAGGAAGAGATGTTTTTTAGAAAAAAATTTAATACCAAGTATTTGAAATATTAAGTCATTCTTAATATTTAAAATTAAAATATTTTTCTTTTAAATCTTGAAGTTTTTCTGACGAGTAAATGCATATAATAAAATTGAAGAAAAAACTCCTGATGCTTAAAATTAAGCCGATTCGTTAGAAAATAAAATATACTGATGAAAAACGGAAGCTTGATGAATATTTAAAAAAGCACAAACTGGCTTAGAAAAAGCTTGGAATAAAGTAAAAAAAAAAATGTAGGTGTGAAAAGAGAATAATAAAACATCAATAAAAATTAATTTAAAAAAATGACTGGAACATAAAAAAAAAGGTGAGAAAAAATAACGAATAAAGCTAAAGATGAAGTGATAACACACGATGTAAAATAGAGTGGATATAAGGTACTTGACAAGCAATGACTTACTTTGCCGCCCTCGCCATTGAGGTTTTGCTGATGCTCACACAGAGCACAAACTTCCCCAAGAAGCTCGTGGGGTTTGATGAAGAGTCTTGCGCTCAGCAAAAAAGCGAAGAGATATGCTCGATCAGGATAATAATCCTCGGTAGGTACCATGTGCTGTACCAACGCCTCCAGGGATCCAGACACGAGGTTACCATCGCGGTAAACCAACGCCTGAAATAATACAAAAAATACCAACCATTATTCACTGAATAAGATTATTTTTTTTTCTCTACTTTTACTGATAAAGCAGTGATAATCTGCTGGATTTCTGGAACAAAATACCAACAGGATCAACTTTTTTCAAACTTCCTAGCTAAGAGTTGAAAAGTCTTATTTTTTAGTGTAGAAAAGTAATAAAATCCGAGATTTATACAAAGACATTTCTCAAACTGCAAGATAAGAAGCACCTGAAAAGCAACATGAGTAACGTTGCTAAGGCTAAAACCTAATACTCATCTAGTTGTGTTTATTTTCAACGATTTGTTGAATCAACCATGTTTTACTTGTTAGAATAACAGGAAAACTGTTGTCTACTTACGGTTATATATGTATGTACACTGTTGTTACTTTACTCTTGAAATCTTAAGGTAACTTGATGCTGTTCAAGTTCCAATGTTTTGTTTGTCTAGCTTGGGTTACGAAAGCAATATCGATTTTTTTTCAAAACTAACAAACACGAAAATAAAGATTAAATAAATCTTAGTAGAGAATTGGTTAAATTATAGTCAAACTAATCAAATAATACTAAATTATTACAATGACTTTTGGAGTAAACGTCTCATAAATTAATCGAATTCATTTTCTACTTAAAATTCTTTCACGTAGGAAACTTTTATAAGAGGAGAGTATTTTAACTTCTTAGCTTGTAATATGATTTAATAATGCTTGAGATAAAATGCAATTAGTAATTTATAACATAATTAAGAGTCTAAATATTTTATTTATTTTTTACTTGTTTCCTCTATAAAATACACGCGAGCTTGATGTTTTAAATTTATGTTTTAAAGCCCAAGGGGAATATAGGAGATGAGGAGAAAACGAAATTTTGTTCACAGCGTGATTCTAAGTGCCGAGAATTGAGGTCGGGTTAGAAAAACAGTTAAGCTAGGGCTCGTGAAACTTGAAAACGTAAATAAATATTACATCATCCACGTTACATAATATTGCCATGGTAGAGTAGCATTTCAAAACAGTAGAATAATGTTTTGAGCTAAAAATTTATTAGGGAGCACCAACAAATATCCTTAGGTGAGTAAATCAAGTGTATTCAACTCCTTCATATCATGCTTTTCATCACGACTTCTGTTTTCTTTCTTATAATAACATCTAACTTTTATAAACTTAATTTCAACGAATGTAAAATATCATTAATAATTAAATATTTCATTTAAATAGCAATTGAGATCCAGAGATAAATTTACTGATGTTTCTAAGTAATCCCAATAGTTCTGAATATTCCCAAGAAATTTATGGAGCTAACGATTAACGACTATCCAAGAAGAAAATTAATATCCGCCATGATAAATTGACCGGTGGACTCGAGAGTGCTGCAGAGGATATTTCTCGTCGGTCCATTATGCTTAAACGTCGACTAGAGATGTCGATAGTTGGTGCGTAGCTGCAAAATATCATAGATATAAAATAAAAAACCTTTTCAGTCCACTCAGTACTTTGTACTATGCATCTTTTTACTCTCGATTTGGTGGCCATTAAATGCAATTTTGCTTTTTTTTTTTTATAAAATTATTCTTGCTCTGATGAATAAATGTGTTCATAAAGACCACTATTGAATGCCATCTATGCACGAATGGTTCATTATTATTTAACAATTTTTATCATTGATTTGTATTGATAATAAAAAACAATACATAATAATTATTAATGCTTTCAAATTTATCAATAGAAGTTATTTTAATTGAAATGTACAATGAGTAATTAAATCTTTTCAAGTAACTCTTATTTACTTTTCTGCAATTGTTAATAAATTTATTGATCAAATAATAACAGGGTTTTACCCTTTCAGTTTTTAATTAAAAAATTTAATAATAGTTCAGAACGGCTGTTCATATTATAAAATATTACACTACACATAAATGTCTTTGTCATTGAATTTGCTAACAATTGTAACATCTACTCCAATTCCCGTTTGAAATTTTATTGAATAGAAAGTGTTGAAGGGCTTTTTAGTAAAATGATTGATGTTTAAACCTACAAACGTTTAACAATGAAAAAAAGTTAATAAGAAGTATTTAATTTCAATAATATAAATAATTGGATTTAATGTATAATTATATGAATTCAGGAATTTATAAATTTTATAGCTGAAACAATTTTATTAATTTATCAAGTTAAATAATAATGGAAATTAATCTAACTATAGCTAAATTATCAAATCAAATTATAATAAAAATATTTACTCGATATTATTGTAAAGCTATCTGATAAATAATAATTTAATCAAAGTTATTATGTTTGTTATTCTCTTACACTTAAGAGTTTTTAAACAACAAATATCAGTAAGTTCCTATTTGTCTGACTAAACTGGCAGTTTTTCCCTTAATTTTAATTTTCAAAGTTTTTTTCTCTGATGAAATGTCGGGTAATTTTTTATTATTTTTCATGCATTATTCCGATGACAGCTTCCGTAAGCTTTCAATAAAAGTAAGAAAAAATATATAGAAAGAGAGAGAGAGAAAGAGAAAAAATTTGATGATACGAAGCACTATCTTTTGTTAAATTTTCCTTTATCCAAAAATCTTTTCATCAGAGCATCATCATCCATGTAACGGCTATGCCAACGCAACCAATGGAGATTTTTTTATAAGCTGACCCAATAGAATTCAACCATACATATCTACTTTTTTTCCTGGCTTTTACTCTCGCTGTGACTTTCATTAAAAAAACATCGTAAAACATTCTTTGCATTGACGAAATGTCATAGAAAATATAATTCCTATAATGAATACATGAATACTATTTTACAGTTGGAGAGTTTTGCGTGTGAAATTTTGCAAGTATGAATATTAATATGAAACTATCGAGTAAATATATTTTAGATATTTATTAACTTCACTTTTTTATCAAGTGACGTTAAATAGCTGCTGCAAATAATTTTAAACCGTTTTTGTTTAAAATCAAACGAAAACCACATCAAATAGTAGTAACAGATTTTTTTTTCAATCATCTATATATATATATATATTTTTCAATCATTTATAAATAAATGCTAGCTATGTAGTTATTTTTTACGAAATATACAAGCTGTTTTTTAAAGTTGAATTAAGCTTTGAAGCTTATTAAAATGATAACTATCTTATAAGTAATTATTACTCTGCATTATCCCCTCTTAATTACGACCTCTTAACGAATAATACCTCGAGATATTAATTATCCACACTGTAGATTATTTAGACCCCAAAACTTGATGAAAATGTTGAGGTACTTTTTAAGAAGCTTGGACCTGTTGTTTTATCAACAGAATATAAAATTAATGCTAATGTGCAGCGCGGATGTTGAAAATCTATTTTTTGTTGAACATTACGATCAGGTATTTAAAAATGAAGGAGGTAATTCGAGTGAAGCTGGGTCTACTAAATGCTAGAATGTCGTTGAATATTATCACCAGCACAGTTCGTACCTCAGTCTCTAAGTCAATGGACCCGGAATCATGTTCGTTGGAGCATAGCATCGCATTTCGATCCGTGATAGGAGGTAATTATGGTCGGCCGTTGGTGTTCATGGAGGTCATGACCTCAGTTTGATCATGTGATCTACGCGTTGATTTTCTGTATAAGCTCTAGGGGTAAAGGAAGCGTGTTCAAAGTGGATCTCACAGTAATTAATAATACAGCTGTAGATTAAATAGATATTACTAAAAACATGAATGATGTTTGTAATAATAATATTATTCTAGATTAATTAATTATTTTTTTTTTTCAAATACTCAAGCTTTTGTTGAATAATAAAATTTTTAGAATATTTTTATCCTACATAATTAGTTGAATTTTAATTGAAGAATACATATTAACAACAACTAGTTAAGAGAAAAAAGTACTTCTCAATTCATTTTTAATTAACAGCTCGATTTGTTTGGTCTCTTATACTGATTGGATTCTCTCGAAGATGTATGCTGATTTTCCGGCAAAAAAAGCGCAATTAAAAAAAAAAATAGTAGAAAAGGCAAGATGAAAACGAAAAGAAAAAAAAGAGAGAAAGTTAAATTGAAAGAAAAAAAAACCAGCTGTTGGTGCTTAACGTTTATAGGAGCGGAAGTGAGTGCGGGCGATTGGTGTTCGTCCACTCTTTTCTGCGTAACCACTCTCCTCCCGTTTTTCATCCATTCTGTACTTCTTTTTTTTCTGCGCATTTTCAGCCCCTATCCTGTGGCTCAATGACTATGCTTGTTCTTCTTACATTGTTCGGCATTGATGACATAGCTTTAAATTTATAAACGTTTTAATTTTCATCGAACAGCCATACAAATTTTGCAGAAAATAAATATTGCACAAATTTAATCGTCTTAAAAATTTACAATAAATGTTTTTACACTTGTGTTATTAAAGTAGTATTTCACTTAGTAATTGGAACGTTAAAAAAAAAAATCTGAGAAATAAATAAAACCCATCATTTTTGAATCTATTCTTCTGATTATAAATTTCTGAACGATTTTTACAACTCATCCATCATCAATAATTGAGTAAAATATTTCTTTCAAAATTTTTCCACAATTTTTTGAAACTAAAAATTTGCATATTTGTGATGAAAAATCTCGTATATCACAAGCGAGACATATTGAATTTCGCGAGTGAAAATCATCGAAGTTTTATGACGTCAATTTGGGAATAATTGAAACGTTGAAAAATAATAAATGACTGCAGTTGTAGTATTGACTATACAGTCGACTGTATTTGCAGATAAACTGACTTTATTACTAGAAAATTCATGAAAATAATGATCATCTATATGGACTTGAATGATTTTCAATATTCACAACAGCAAATATACACTCAGAAACACATATATAATTAGTTTTTATTACAACTTTGATGTTGCATGCACAAGTTCATAGATCAAATAGTATATCAACTTTAGAGTAATTAAGCTATTTCATCTGTCATATCGTTGATGAGTATTTAGTAATGATTTATTATAATTATGTTCTGCATTATCCAAAACAGTTACCAATATTCAGATAATTTTACATTTGTTGTAATACATTTGATAATATTAAAATGCACTTTTCATACAGGAAAAACAAAAATGTTAGTTTTTTTTTCATGAAATGTAAACTTTTGTCAATAAATTTATCTTAAAATTTTTTAAAGATTTCAACAATCAAAAAATTCAAATAAAAATCCCTCTATGGCATCATTTTATAGATGATTTGATATCTCTGCATGCAATAAGAATAATATAAATATGTTTATGGCATCGCAAAGATATGAAAATAAAGTTTACAACATCAAAGAGGATATAGGTTTCGAACAAGTGATGTAGTTTGAGGAGTTACAATAAAAGGAAAACAAACGGAAAATGCCAAGAGTGATTTGGCAAATCGTAGAAAATCCTACAGTTGTCTGTAATTTCCTGACAAAAGCTTCACATCACGATGAATATTTAGAATGAGCAAAAGACAAGTAGAATATAAAGTGTACCATTTAAAAGGGATTGGGACACTTACGTGTTCTGTGTTTATGGCGATGCCGTCTCGAATGTCCTGGTGGTCGACGGCAGCACCGTTGACCATGCCAGGACCAATGCCGGCGCCACATCCCTTTCCCCCAATGCCTCCGGCTGGAGTTTGTGGTAAGCTCTGGAAAATGGAAAAACCCCGATCCAATTCAATTGCCAGTAGTAGTCGCGTTGATATAAATAAATATTTGACTGATGTAACAATCAGATGTGTTAAGAACAAAAAATTAAAATAAAAAGATACCATTTTTTCCAAGGAGAATTGGTAAAGTTATAAGCTTCAACTTTATCTTGTCAAGGATTGAGTTAGAAAAGTTAGGGATATTATTTTTAAGTATCTCAAAGAATTTACAAAGTGCAAAGTTGAGTAATCTAATGAAACTTTAAGCTTGCACTGGAATTAACTCAACGAAGATTGAAAGAGAAAAGGAGATTAAAAAAAAATGATACAGGAGAGGTTTTCTGTAGTGGAAGTTGATCATAGAGAATCGACATTGGCTTCTTTTTTATACCTATCATGTGAGTATATTGGTAATAACGAAAAGTGCTACTCTCACAAAGAAATAGATCCTATAAAGGACTTATAAGCAGAGGGCTTTTCCCTTTACACCCCAACTCATCTCTTTTTTTGGCTAGGCAATTTTCCCCTTGCTTTCCTGCAGTCACTCCGAGAAAGAGTTGCTCACAATCAATGCTTTTTTTGTCTTGACTCTTCCCCATATTTTTTGTGCGACTTTTAGATATGCGCATGATTTCCTTCGATAATAAAACCTCTGCATCATGATTCGAAAGTCGTACGCGAGCGATAATATTTGGGATAACCGTTGCTGATAGGCAACCTTTTTTCAAGACGAATAACTTTTGTTGGAATTTCGTGGGGTTTCTTCAAATGTAAAAAATCTGTGCTGGATAGATAATGTATTCTTTCTCAATTTTTCTATTCTATCGAAATTCTAAAAATTTTTGGTTTATTTTTTGCCCACAAGAAAAAACGAGTCAATAATGACAATAACCAGGAACTCGATTATTTTTAGAATGGTTAGAAATCAATACAACATAATGATGAATTGATGAATAAAATAAATTTCATTATTCAATAATTGATGTTAAAATAATTTTCTGTAATTTTATATAATTAGAAAAGGAAGTAAACATGAATAGAATGTTTTGAGATGGTGTTTTGAAAAGACATTGATTCAAGAAATATTACAGGATGTATAAGGTGGTGTGTTTTCACAAAATGCTTAAACAAGAAAAATGAAATAAAACTAAAGTATATCGTGCAGATACATAAAAGTTATTTGTTCATCTCATTTCTTTGCAGACAAAGGGAGGGAAATGAAATCGTACATTCGTGAAGAATATTAGATATCCTTCAATACAATATAAAATGAAAGTATGTGCATGTAAGTAAGAAATACGAGGTCGTATTCACACGTTCAACTTCTCAATCGAATTATATTGATAGTACAGAGCTCTCTGGGTTTCCATATTTTCCAATCCACTTCGAATAAGTTCATTCTTTACTTGCAAAAGTGTTGCTCGAAAATCCACAATTTACCCTTGTTGCGTGAAACAATATGTCTGGAGCAATTTATTTTTCCTTCTGCTTTCACTATTTTATCTATTATTTTATTTTTTATTTTTGAAAAAGCTTTTTCGATCCAAGGAAGAATATATAAGAAATGAGAAGTACAAAGCTTGAGTTCTTGATAGAGCCTAGTAATAACCACAACTCTCGAGGGAACTTCTTCTCTGTGATTTACTTCTACGTTCTTTTACATACCTTTTTTTGTTTCAACTTTTTTTTATGAGAAATGATGGGGATGTAGAATTTGTCGGAAACTGAATTTTCCTAACGGAACACTGTAAAGTGCAAGGTAAAAGACTCGCTAACTCGGTTCGATGAAATTTCTTGAGTGTAGGGAATGAAAAGTTGTAGAGTAAGGACAGGAAGATGGTGAAAGAATAAATGTAAGGATAGATGATAGAATTTAATCAGTCTTGATACGAAGCTCGACATGTCACAAGTCTTCCTCCTTTCATTCTATTTCATCCTTTATAGGTACATATCATGACACTCTCCAATGTGTCGAGATGATAAGATTCATGTAGATAGCAAATATGAACTTTAATGTGAATTGTGAGTTGCTTTATGTCGTTGACATGGTAAAAAAAAAGAAGATAAGAAATAGTTTTGCTTCAGGGGTTTTGGAAAATGTTGCCAATAACTTAATAAAACAAGTTGTGCAGTGATGTAGGTAAGACTCTCGAGGTCATTCGTTCTTTTACCACAAAAATGAGACATATATGGAGACAATGCATTTGATATATACAATTCAGAATGTATCACTCGTATAAAAAAATTTCGTTCCCCAAAGGTTCCCCTCGTGGAACTATGGGAAACATTTGGGAAACAAAGTATTTTTTTTTTTTTGAGAATTTTACCTCCCTACTCCAAACGTACGTTAAATTTTTTTTAATTGCGAAAACAATATTCATGAGGAAATTAATAAAATGATGATATATTGACGAAAAACTGTAAGATATAGAAATGTGCATAACTTCTATTCTAATGATGCTACGGGGTTGATCGAGGGCTCATATTAAAGATCTGGACGAAAGGAAAGAAGTCGATATAGTTAAAATGATAATTAAGGCGTAATTAATTCTGAAATTAACGCAAGTTCCCGTTTTACCTCATTTTAGGAGTGAAATAATAGATTATTGATACGTTTGACCTGATTCCGCATTTCTACGCATCAAGACGAAGAGAATGAGTGGTCAAACTTGAAAATCGGACTACTTTGATTTTTCGACCCCTAAAAGTGGCAAGTGGTACCCCTTTCCATTTTTTTTGGCCAAAAAATAAAGATACTCCGATTTTGATGATTGAGGGCTCATTTTCTTCGTCTTGATGCGTAGAAACACGGAATCAGGGCACAGCCCAAGAAAATTCACTTTAACACCCTTAAAAACGGGTTGCACGAAATACAAATTACAAATCATCATCCCCTTAACTTTGAGCCCTTATAACTCATGAACGGATAGTCCAAAAATTGATTTTGAGGACATCTTTAAAAGCTTGAAATCTAAGCTAAATATGCATATTTATAAAAAACGTTTGAAAAATTTCTTCCACCCTTAAAATCGCTAAAATATAAAAAAAAATCACATTTTTTTAGGAGTTTGCCAGGTATTTGGGTAATTTTGAGGGTGAAGGAAATTTTTTAAACATTTTTCATGCATATGTATGTGTAGCTAAGATTCTGAAATTTCCATATCCCTCCTTAAAATCATTATTAAATAACTTGTATGGGAGTTATAGAGGTCCAGAGCAAAAGTTAGGTCAAAAAATCACCTACTCTTCGACTTTGGATCTTCATAACTCGTGAAAAAATTATCGAATGATGATTTTCAAGAAGTTTTTCGAAACTTCAGCCACCACTTGCCACTTTTAGGGGTCGAAAAATCAAAGTAGTCCGATTTTCAAGTTTGACCACTCATTCTCTTCGTCTTGATGCGTAGAAATGCGGAATCAGGTCAAACATATCAATAATCAATTATTTCACTCCTAAAATGGGTTGAAACGTCGGGGAACGTTACTATTGGGGGACATTTGGGGATCGCATTTTTTTTATATGGCAGGGATCACTATGAACGTAGATACATCCTGGATGTATATGAAGTACATCTTTATGTAATGCGTACTTTACATTTTCTTGATATTCCTTTCATATCGATGCAAGAATAATTTCTTATGAAATTCAAAATAAAAACTTATTACTGATTGTTCAGACTTAATCCACTAATGAGGTCTAGTCTTTCTATGTAACAATAATTGGCTTCAAATAACATATAAACTCTACGGGTCATATAATCAGAAATTAATTTTACTTATGTGAGCTTAGAACAGCACCAAACATTCAGTTCTAATTGCGGTACACCGCATTTCTTTGCAGTGATTAAATTCATATACGTGCATAGTCTATTACTACTCGAAAAGAAAGTTCAAGTTGAATTTTACAACTTTATTAATTTTTATTTTTCTTAATTTATTCACAAGAAAGTTCTAGTTAAATCTTTTAGTGAAAATTATTATGAGTAATGTAAATGCTGAAGAAGCTCATTTTAGATAAATATTAAATTGAAGTAATAATTCATAATTTTAAAGTTTGATATAACAATCATAGTTACAATTGAATATCATTGTGAATATTTAAAAGTCTTTAATTACATAGTTTTGGAAGAATTAATATTTGAAGGATAATTTATAAGTTCAGACTATCATAGAGATTATATCATTCATGATGAATACAACAATATTCACTTGGATAATAGAGTAGCCGTAATAAAAAATAATATAATCATCTTAGGATGTACTCTTTGATGAGAGAATGAATTAAAATTATCAATATGCTACTTCAACATCTCAAAAACTATCCTCAGTAAATAAAAATCATTCGAGGGTTAATTACATCGTACTTACAATTTTGATGAGATTTGTAATTACAAAATATTTCAAGCATTCCATTTAACTAGTATAAAATTTTTAGAAGAAAATTCTAGACTTAATATGATTAAAAATGGAAATTAAACACACTAGCAAGTAAAATATTTTTAATTCAACTTCACTTAAATTTTAACACTATTTCTGGATCAAAGTAAATTACTAACATCTCTTTTTTTTTCTGTCTGTATACGAGATCAACTGAGACTGCATAAAATAGTAAATGGGTTTAAAACAGCTGTGATAAGAAAAAAATATTACGATAAAGTTTTTTCAAACTGTTTTTATTGATCCTTTTTTGTACTCTATCTTTCTGAAGACAAAGAAACTGTCGCATAGTGTTTTGTAAAAGTTTAATTACCTAAGAAATGTCTGACTCACTCTAGTGCATTTTACCGCTTTAAAATGTTGCAAAGTTTTGGTACAAGCACAAGAAAGGTGGGAAGGAAGTGGATGTTTAATGAATGGGAATAAAACTCAAAGAAAAGTGTCTTCAGTGGGTGTAACCTTTGTAGTTTACTGCAATTCGCACTTTTTTCCCCAACCAACTATATAAATACTTATCCTCATAGCTGTCCAAGTTGTATTGAATTCTGAGAGAACAAATATAA